TATACTACCCACAGCTCTTAGCCATCCCAATCAAGTCAAATTAACACAATTCATCTAGGTCAACACTAAAAGTCCTGCCTTCACCACCCATATACACAAGTTCCCCATTACGAATAATTTTAAATGTTCCCCCATGCTAGAATCTAAGGGTAACAGTATTCACCTAAATCATTATAATGTAATTAGCCAAATCATACATAACATCAACACAATTATTGTAATTAATCAACAATTTACCATAATTAAACAAATATAAACCAAAAAGATTACATTTTTATCCACAAAATAACTGTAAATTAACAAATTAACCATAATTCATCTACAATTAAGGGTTAAGAAATTCGTACCATTGTCGAATTGTCTGGGTGCCAACTACGTACTTTCTGCTTTTCTCCTTCAATGCAACTTCAAATTTGCTTGTGTGGTGGTTGTTCATCAAAAATGGCGGAGTACGGACCTTCGTTTTTTTTTTGGGGTAAATTTGGTTAGTTTCAGTAATGGTGAGAGGAGAGAGAAGGAAGAAGGGAGTAATTGGGGTTTTAGAAAGTAAGTGCCACATCGGCAATTTTAAGAGGGAACTTTAAGTTAATCTTTAATTAGATACAAGTTGACTTGATTCCGGTTGCCTGTAATTTGACCTGATTAAAATAAAAGGGGTATAAAGGTTGTAATATCCAGGTATAATCAAAAGGTTGTATTTAAAAAAAAAAAAAAACTGGCCAAAGGTTGTATTATTTATGGCAATTTTTCCTAAACAAAAAGGTATAATTTAACATCGGCTTTTTCACCATATACCCCTAAGTTTTAACTTAATTTACCATATTACTACTAAAAATTTTCAAATTCACCATACAACCATAAGTTTTACAAAAATATCACCACATGCCTTTCCGTTAACTCCGTTAGTCATTAACGTTAATTGTGCCACGTGGCAGCTTGTAATTGGTTCTTATTATTAATATTATCTATTTAATTAATTGACTTTAAAAAAATTATTTAAAAAATTAAAAAATAATAAAACACCACCAACCTAGCCACCGCCGCCAGCAGCCCAGCCCCGACCCACACCCAAGGCTGCCGACGGCTAGTCCACTTCCCGGCTGGCCAGCGACCATCCTTCCTCCCCCATCGGCGATAACCCCGACCCCAACTACCACCTTAGCCGAATTCCTCAACCACCACCTTAGTCGAATTACTCTCTTATAACTGAAAACCCAGCCACCACCCCGAAATCCCTTCGTCGGCAGCCCAAACCTTTATCCACACGTCGCCACCGCTCAACTTGTTGAAAATCACCACCCTCAAAACCCTAAAACACCAAAATTGAAACCCTAGGTTTCGTTTTAGGGTTTTGGTGTACATGGTGGTTTAGTGGGGTGGAGATGGCACCAGAGGGGCGAATTGGGTTTGCCGATGCGGGGGAGGGGGGTTTGGGTGCTGGTCGGTGGTTAGGGGAGGGTTTTTTGAGGGAGATAGGGGGCTCTTAGGGTTCGAGCACGACGGTTCCAAGGAAGAGGAGGAGCGTCAGCAGGGGTTCTGGTCGGGTTCCGTGTAGGCGCGGGGATTCTGGTTGGTTTTTGCGTCGACGTGGGGGTTTTTGTTGGATTTCGCGCCAGGGGTTGTCGGTGCAAGGTGGTGGCTGGGTTTTTTTTTATTATTTTATGATAATTAATTAAATAATTATTTATAAATTAAATAATAATTTAAAAGGGAACCAATTATATGTTGCCATGTGGCATTATTAGTCTTCATGAATAAGATTTGAAAGGTATATGTTGCCACGTCCGTTAGTCTTTATTGGCATGTTGTGATATTTTCATAACACTGATTGATATATGGTGATTTGAAAATTTTTGATGGTATATGATGAATTAAATTAAAACTCAGGGGTATATGATAAAAAAGCCCACTCATTCAAGGATCACACAGACATAAAATGAGCTGTACAACTATATGTAAAGACGAATGATGGAAGATGATTACCTCCATCAAATTGTTATAGTTAGAGAAAGGTTGAAGATTTCAATAAATGAAAAGATACGAAATTGAACTAATCTAATCTTGGCTACTAAGCCTATAAACTACTCCCTAAGTCTTTTTATTTTTGCCCCATTTGACTTTGTGCGGTATGCAACATACGTGTTAAGACGTTTATGTTTTCATTTTCATACGCGTAAAAATTATAAAAAGTTGATACTCCCTCCATCCCATAATACTTTACACAGTTTTCATTTTCGTCTGTTCCACAATAGTTGACACGTTACTAAATATGAATGAAACCACTAATAAAAAAAATATTTTCCCACATTTTTTCTCTCCTCACCTACCCCATTCCCACCACACTTGTTGTTTTCTTGTATTATAAAAATACAAAAGATAATCTTTTATATAATTAACAAATGTTTTAAATAGACCCACTTGTAGTTCTCTTAAACTACGTGTTCACCCAAACGTCCCAATACAAGTATTATGGGACGGAGAAAGTATTAAATAAATTTACAATAAGACAAACCAAATATGATCCCACGTAAATATATTTTCTTTTGTTAAATAATGGAGAATTTATGTTCAAAGTTTTTAAAATTTAACCTATATTTTAACATTAGGTGAAAAAAAATAGGGACAGAAGGAGTGATACCTACCACAATGGACTAAGAAATTGGGCTAATATTCGGTCTCTAATCTTCAAATAATACTCATGTTCTTTCCCGTCTTTTGATCCTCTTGTTATTGTCATCTCAATTGCTCATTTTAACCAGTTACTTGACTTTTTATCAATCGTTTGACTATTGTTTCAGGCGTTGAACTTATTATCCCGTTTTGTGGGCTTCGGCCTCTATTTTTTTTCAATGACGTTTAGTGGTATGTCAACACAAACCCATAAGAGAAAATTTCTGAAACCACAATGGTGCATATTGCACTCAACCAACGTGCTATTAGAAGACTTATTTTGGGGATCTGAGAATCAGAATGTAGACTAGGAACTTGCTTTAATTTTTTACCAATTCTATTTCTTGAAAACCGTCTTCTTGAGTTTAATATACTTTGTACTCTACTTAGAAGCACGTGTGTTACGCGATCGAAAGGAAAACAATGATTTGATTTTTGCATCTTCGGCAGTTGATGAACAAGACTAGGAAGTCACAATAAAATTATAAGTTATTACAACACTCTCTTACAACGTCAGAGACGAGAAAGTAAACGAAACAACCACTAGACACAACGTGAATCTAGCACATTCGGCTCAATGTTTCTTTACATTCATCAATAATTGGATCCCCCAACTTGGCCCATGTATTTCATTGGCCGGTTTATAGTGAGACTTTAAATATTATTTCTAATCATTTTTATCTGCAACATTTGAGTATTATTTGTGAGATATAAAATATTCTAATGTTGCAAATAAAAATAAACTGGAGGGAGTATGTAGTTTTATAACACAAATTTTTACGTAATGTGATCTTAATAATACGTAATTAAAGATATTGATGGTCAAATGTAAGTTTTGAAACTGTGCAAAATGAATACGTTAGAGATGATCATAGGCCGAGCCAAGCTTTGGCAAAAAAAAAAAAAAAAAAAAAAAAAAAAAAAAAAAAGTGGCCATTTCGGACCAATGATTTGGGTCAGAAAATCGTGCCCAAACCCACTATTTTGGGCCAAATAGGGCCACACCTAATTATAACTAAAAAAAATGTAATTTTGGGTTGCCCAAGACATAAACAAGTTGGGTTGGGCTTGTTTCAATCGACCCAAAAAATCTACCTAAATCGGAATTTTTTTCGGGTCGGATCAATTGTGATCAGGTCTAGAATAGACATTACTATGAGGCGATGGGGGTGGGAGTACATGTATATGCCTCCGCCTCAAAACTATTAAGCTATTAGGTTTGTAATTTGGGATACTAAGATGTTGTTTGGTTGACGTGGGAATTTAATTTCCATAGGAAAATTTATACTTCATGGGAAGTTAATTCCTAAATAAAATTCGTAGGAATTTCTTAAATGTGTTTGGTTGACAGTAAGGGATATTGAAATTCCCATGAATTTTGTTTACCTAGGGGGCTTGGGAATTTACTTCCCATGTTTTGTGGAAAATTGAAATTCCCATGAATTCCCACTTCCCCCATTTTTGCTGTTTTATATCAACCACAACTACCCATTTTATCAATTTCCATGAATTTCTAATTCTCTCATTTTATAATGTCAACCAAACAAGGCCTAAGTTGAGTAAAATAGTTTTTGAAATTTTGATGGATGAGATTGTGATAATTAACATAATTTTTATAGATTTCCGAGATATGCAAGTTAGTAGAGGTTGTTATATACACACAGGTGTACCGTACACCCATGAGTATTTGCTCTCATTTTGATGATTGCTTTTCATTTTATCATCAAATGAAGAACTAAAACTAATCTTCGATTAGTTGGGTGTACGGTACACCTGACTATATATAACAAATTCTAGCATATTAATTGTACATAATATGAATCAAATTAGAAAGCGTCAACTTATAAACATGTGTGAACCAGTTACAAAATTGAAACAAGTCAAATTGTTTGCTACATGTTTACTAGTACTGTAATAATTAATACTTGATGAGTTTTCCACGATATGCTCCAATTAATGAAATTTTAGTCTTAATTCTTACTCTACAATTTGGACCTTCCCCTAAACTTTTCAACACTTACCAAAGCAATTTGAGAAGTGGAGTGAATCTACGGAATTCTTCACATGAAACTAAAATTGCACGTTAAAACACTGAAATAATTAGAGTTGTGAATTGAAACTAAGACCACGATGACAACAAGTAGGAAATAATCTAGCATTGATTCCGCTTAGAGATTTGAGCTAATTAAAGTACACTGACTAGAAAACTTAGTACGTCGTATTATACCAATATACCACATCTTCATTTATTAGGCCTAAGTTGACCTTGATCATACTTTATAATATAACAAACTAAATCTGACGCATAAATATGACTAACCAAGCCAATATACAATTTGGTTTATTTTCTAAGTCATGGAACAAAAATCATCCATTGTTGACAAATGGAAATCTTTCTCACTTGGAGCCTTACTCGGCTTCCTCGTCTTCATCATCTACCTTGACAAAGTCCATCAAGACGTAAGTTTCTTAGCGGCGAAACAAGCCATGGTAGATTTAGTTCCTTTTAAATTACTAAATCCATCTACTAGTGTTATCAAGCCTAATAAGTCATCAGATGTTATTCTCAATGACATTGATAAATCGACGAAAAAAGTTGGGAAGAAATGCAACATGTTTGATGGGAGATGGGTTTATAATCCAGAGGAGAGTCGTTCTAGCTATGATTCAATCAAGTGTCCATTCGTCGAGGAGAAGATGAGCTGCCAAGAGAATGGAAGGCCTGAGTCGGAGTATGAGAAATGGATATGGGAAGCTCGAGATTGTGATATACCAGCGTAAGTACATAGGTAGTTATACTTTATACAATTCTTTTGTACAAAATTTAATATTTATTTTGACCTAATTAAACCATTACAAATTTTTTTTATTTACACTCCAATATATTATATGAGCTCAATATCATTTTAATTTTAGATTGTTCCAATTTCATTGTCTCTATTTTATACTCCCTCTGTCCCTTTATTTTTACCCCATTTGACATTTTACGGTATCCAAGATGCACCTTACAATGCATATATCTCTTATTTTATTCACGTATAAATTATAAAAATTTGATATTAATAAAATACTCAAAGATATGAACGTAACAAGATCACACATGACTACGTTAACTATTATAGATCAATGACAATTAATGATCAAAGTTTTAAGAGTTTGACCCAAATATTAGCAATGGGGCAAAAAAATTAGGGACGGGGAGAGTACCTTTGATCATATATGAATTTAGTCAAATTATATTAATAAAAAAGGTAGATATTATACGCTTAGTAACAAAAATTACAATAATCTTCACATTCCAATTCAATTCCATATTTAGGGATAAAAAAATTACTTATCACAAATTTTATATCATACATCATAAATAAAAAGGAGAACAATTAAAAACGAAAAAAAAATACAAAGCTGATGCATGCATGTAAAGAATTATTTTTACATCATGGTTTTTTTTTCACCTGATTTAAAGGATTATGATCCAGTCCTCTGATCAAACGATTTGATTAACCTTTTTCCTATTTTGTGTACTAATAACTAATTAAATTGTATTGGTTTAAAAAAAAAAAAAAAAAAAAAAAAAAAAAAAAAAAAAAAAAAAAAAAAAACCAACTAATTAAATTGTATAAAAAAATAACATTGATAAACAAGATCAAGTCCGATATTATTTAAACAAACTAATGGTTAAAATATGATACTATTCATTTTTTTTAAGAAAAAAAGATATATTCATGTCTTAATCTTTTTGGTTTGCACTTTTTTAGTAATGTAACATAATGATTTACAAATAACTTACTATTAAGTACCTTACCTTGATGACCAAAGGAGATATAACAATTAATTAATTTAACACCGATTAACCATTACTATGTGTGATTGGATCGGATTCACATTTGCATGTTGGAATTGCTACAAAATTACGTTCATTGCTTACTTTTTTAGATCTCATAAATGTATTAATCCGAAACTCATGGTATATTTACTGAACACACTTGAATACTAAATCTTGTGAATAAATAATTGAAAACATTATTACTTAGATTAATAACGAACAATTTGACTTAAATTATGTTCATTTCATCCTTTAGATTTAATGGAACAGACATGCTAGAAAGGCTGAGAAACAAGAGGATGATCCTAGCCGGTGATTCGCTAAACCGTAACATGTGGGAGTCTCTTACTTGTCTTCTCTTCACTTCCATTCCTTCCAATGCATCTCAGGTCAAAGAAATAAAAGGCTACCAGAAATTATGGAAAGCTAAGGTATAAATATATATTACAATGTACAAAAACAAGGCCAAATTAGAAATTTTAATCAACAAAATAATGTGGTTATCTAATCATAATGATATGGTTTAATTGCAGGATTATAACTTCACTTTAGAATTTTATTGGAGCCCATTTCTTGTTGAATTGAACAATAAACATGAAAGTGGCAAAAGAGTTCTAGTGCTGGATAAGCTTTCTGCTGAGTCGGAAAAATGGAGAGGGGCAGATATTATGGTATTTAACTCCGGTCACTGGTGGGATTTACGTGGAAAAATGAGAGCGTAAGTTTTTTTATTACTTTTCTCTAATTTATTTATAAACATTTCATGAATTATTATTAAGTATAGTTTAGAAGAAGCGAATTCACATTATAGTAATACAATTTTTCAGGTATACATAAAAATGGCAAAGTGATGTACGTGATATATAAACTTTGACCTAAAAGAATGATTAACCGCACTAAAATTTCTCGGTTATTTTTAATCTAATCTAGTAAATATTTTAAACAATAAAAAAAACGAAAGATGTGATAAACAATGTAAAAAAAACAAAATATTGTGACTATATTTTGAATTCTAAATTATAGTGAATCTTACATAATATTGGCTAGTTGAGGACCATAAATTATTTGTCTAAGTACTAAAGAGTAAAGACTTGCTTTTTTGTTATATATTGCTTAGATAAAAATAAGTATTTGGCAGTAAATAATAAAGTGATATGAAATAGACGAGATTTATACCTACTTTATTGGATTCTAACCTCAATATTAGCTACATGATTCACCTAAACTTGTCACAATTAATTTATGAATAGAAATCTGTGTACTACGTATTACGTATTTTAAGAGTAACCGAAGCATGTAGTAATATTATCAGAATGTATGTCCTTACATATTTTGGTTTTCAGGTGGGAGATGTTCGAATTTGAGGGTAAACTAATAGAGGGTATGCCTATAGATGTTGCATACGAACATGGCTTGAAAACATGGGCGACGTGGATAGAGAAAAATGTCGATCCTGAAAAAACAAAAGTATTGTTTAGGAGCAATTCTCCTTGGCACCAGTATGATCAATGGTGCTACAATAAAACTCAACCTATGATGGATGAACCATATAAACAACTCTTTACAAAATCGTTGGTTAATGTCGTTGAGAGGCAAATAAAAGGGATGAGAAAGCCACAAGTGAACTACTTGAATATTACCAAGCTTTCAGAATACAGAATTGATGCACATCCGTCAATGTACAGGTACAAGGACTGGAATACACTTGCCCAAAAATATGGAAATAATCTTAATAACTATGTTGATTGTAGTCATTGGTGTCTTCCCGGTGTTCCGGATACTTGGAATAGGCTGTTGTATGCTTCTCTTTTCTTTGATATTTTAGCAAATTCACCTAGTTAAGGAGTTCTTCATAAGGGATTATTACATCCCTATTTTATGTCACATACCAATATTGTATGTAGTATTTGTAAACAACGCCTAATCTATCACTATATGGACTATGGAGGACTTGTGTAGTTTTGTGACTAGAGGATGCAACAAAATTAAAATTCATCCTTTTAGGAGTTCAATTTAACTTTTTTTTTTTTGATATGTAACATTTTTTTAGGCCAATAAACGATAGAAGTGCAATGGTTAAAGAGGTTTGCTTCATTGATAAATCTATACCATGCTGAGACATCTAAGTGAATAGCGCGAGCAACATAGAACGCCAATAAATGCCCCTTTCGAGCATTCACTGGAGAGACTCAGTTTGACACACTATACAATAGTCTCTCTACTCTCTACTCCAAAATTTTTGCTTCCTATACATATTGGTTATCTCAATTTTTTAGCATTGGACGATGTTTTCCTTAGCGTGGTTAACCCCTAAGGGCATGAGATGCAATCTATTTTAAACGTTTTTTCAAAGTTTGGTAGATAGGTTAAAAAGATTACATTCAGTTTCGGTTCAAATTTTGTTCCGTTTCATGTTGTATTATGCACACCTATAGACACATGGGCTACAATTGAACCTTTTTTTTTTTTTTCAAATTTATTAGTAGATTAAAAAAGGTTTTGGGATAAAATTTTGGGTTTGATGAGTTAGTAGGCCAGGTTAGCATAACCTGCTCGAAAGTGAAACAATTGATCCGTTTGCTACATATGGTATTTGCAAATTACGATAGCATTTGCTAAATTACTAATGTAATGAATAATAAGTACGAGTAATAACTATTTTCTATTTAAATTTCCAAGATATGCCTCAAAAATGGATAACTTGACTTATCTCTTACTCCAAGTTTTGGACTATTTCTACATCAATACAATTACCAAAGCTATTTGTGATTTGGAGTGAAGCTGCAGTATTCTTCATTCAATAACACATGCATATTATACGTATATTGTATTACGGAGTACATTATAACATGCATAATGCCAACAAGTAGGAAATTTTCACGTATAGATTGGGCTTAGGGATTTGAGCTATTTATGGTACTGACTTGGAAACATAACTAGTGGTATTTTACTATTTATTCACCTTGTCTTGTAATACTTAAATAGTAAGTCTATATAGTTCACCATATATTTGTTATAAAATGCTCAAAAAACATCTGTAATATATACTCGTAGTAAAAAAAATCCAACCAAAGTGTAAGTGTTACCTTGTTTATTTTCTGTCATGGAGCAAAAACCCTCCATTGTTGAGAAATGGAAACCCTTCTTCCTAGGATTTTTACTCGGATTCCTCGTCTTCGTCTTCTATCTTGATAAAGTACACCAAGATATGACTTTTCTAGCTTCTAAAAAAGCTATGGTAGATCTAGTACCTTTTCAATTACTAAATAATCCATCCACTAGTGTTATTATAAAGCCTTTGAAACCATCTACTTCCATTGTTAATCCATCTACTAGCGTTGTTATAAAGCCATTGAAACCATCTACTTCCATTGTTGATGACATAGAGAAAATGACGAAAAAAGCAAGAAAAAAGTGCAATATGTTTGATGGGAGATGGGTTTATAAGCCGGAGGAAGGTCCTCGCTATGATTCGTTCAAGTGTCCGTTCATTAACGAGAAGTTTAGCTGCCAAGCTAACGGGAGGCTCGATTCTAAGTATGAGAAGTGGAGATGGGAAGCTCGAGATTGTGATATACCGGTGTATGTAGTTTTCTTGATTTAATATTGAGCAACTCCTTTATTATTTTAAATATGCATGATAGAATTCCTAGCTAATTAGTAATCTAAGTTGCATCTATTTCTTATTCCCTTCGTCCCTTATGATAGTCCTTAGTGGTCAAATTTTAGTCCCAAAATATTCACTCCATTTGTTTATTCTAACAACCATTAATATTAATTTTTTTTTTTTTTTACCAAAATTTTCTCCGGTTTGCAACAATCTTTATGCAAATTTATATTTTCCATGTAAATTTTGCATTTCCATATATATTTTTATTACTTTATCTTTCTACTTTTTTGTACACCCCATGTAAATTTAACTTTTCAATGTACTTTTATTACTCCCTCCGTCCCTAAATTAGTGGCCTATTTCTAATATTTATTACTCACATAATAAAGAGAAATATACAACTAATTTAGGGACGGAGGGAGTACTACTTACTACATCTGTTACATATTATGTGTAAATTTTGAATATTTTATATCTCACAAATTATACCCAAAAGTTGCACATAATATGTAACGGAGTTAGTATTTAGATTTTTTAATTCCCATAAAATTTCACCAAAAAGGACTATCATTAAGGGACGGAGGAAGTAACACTTATCACTTTGTAGTTCCTATGTAGAACACAATTGTAGAACTAACAGTCTACAATGGCCACATTAGGTAATTAGGTGAAGGGTGGTAACGGAAACTAATTAGTAAAATATTATAAAACCAATCTTCGGACTCTAACCAAAAACAAAACTTATCTAATGGTTAATTATTAGAGCCCCAAATTTGGTTTTATACTTTATTACTCTCACTTTAGATCCCTTTGAGCATGAATTGTGGAGGCACAATGAGCCTCCTTAGACCTAGCAAACTAACCAATACCCGATTTTTAAACTTGAAACCCAAATTCATCACTCGAAATCAACAAGTTAAACAAATCTGAACAGATCTGAGATAAACCTTCCAACCCGAAATAAAATGTTTCTAATAATGAGTACTCCCTGAATTTTCTTAAGCACCGTGGCCTAATTTCACTTAATTTCACAACATTCACTTTCACCACTATGACATTAGTTGGTGTATCATAACATTAAACATAGTCAAGTGAGTACTAATTCAAATCTTCTCAAAGTATATTTTTGAATATCTACTATTCACTTTTTATTATCCATATAAAATATTGATAATTAAAGATATTTTTGTTCAAAGTTTTGTGTTGCCATATGTAGTGTTGGACACACATTGGTACTTAAAAAATCACCAAAGAGGGTGTCTTAATAAGCATCTTAGCAATATAACTTGTTAGATGAGACGAACTTATACAAGAGGGGGGGTGAATTGTATGAAGTTCCTATTGGTACTTTTTCACGGAAATATAAAACAAAATATTAAAGGAACTTGTAATGCACACAGGATTTTGCGAGGAAACCTTTCAGGGCCCAACTGGAAGTAAAACCTCGACCCTCCAAAGGGATTTTCAACTTAAAACACTTCACTATAATAGGGCAAAATAATCCAAGTTACAACCTATTATAATCAGACCTTTCTCACAAGTTTCTGACTGAACTTGCTACTCGATAGGACCTTATCCTACACAACCTAAGTCCCAGACTTAGATTCTACTCAGCACTCCCGAAGTACTAAACTCAACTTCAACCTTGAAGCCTACCTCACTGTATGCAAAGAATAATCACACACCCAATACCAAAACAATACAAACTTTTGACTCTATTATGTGATTGGAAAGCTACACATGAAATCCGAAACAAAATATGACAAAGCTTTAAACTTGGCAAACTTACACTTAAGCACTCTTCAGATTTTTCACGCATAAACTCACAAGTTGATTCAATAATGAATATTTCTTTATATACATGAACTCATGTACGTAAAGTAGGGTTTTTAAAAGATAGAATATTAGAAAACTGCCATTTTATAAAACCTTTGTGAAATTAATCTTTTGAAGAAAATCTTTTGAAAAACTTAACAAATATATAATTTAGAAAAGATTATTATTTTGCAAAACCAGATTTTATAAGATAAAATCTTTCAAGGATCTTTTCTTAAAATTAAAACTTATCTTTTATAAAACTTTCCATAATTAAAAGCTTGTCAAGTTTTTCCACGCTTCTAATAGATTTCACGCATAATCTAATCAAACATATTTACAACAATCCTAGCAAAAATAAACTTAACAAAAACCTTAATAAAATGACTTTTAGTCTATAGCTAGATTGTCTCCTCAAACATTGTGTTATAAGGATACCTGGGCTCTACGGAGACCAGGATTGAGTTCCTGTTGTCTTCAAATTCTGCAGCTCCTTCACTACTAGAAAACAGTCAATCAACGACGGAAAAAATCCGTCAGGAAACCCTGAAATTCCGTCGGAAAGCAGCGTCGGAATACACTTTGTAGGAATTTCGCGATATTTCCTCGGAAATTCAGTCGGAAAGGTCTATTCTGACGGAATTTTTGACGGATTACGTTCTGTCGGCGCTTTTGTTGACTTTAAGTTGAAATCTGTCGCAAGGTTCCGACAGAATTATTTGTCGGAGTGGGGTATGTTCCGACGGAAATTTCCGTCAATGGGGGAGATGTTTCGACGGAATTTTCCGTCGGAGGAGGTATATTCCGACGGAAAATTCCGTCGGAAAAGTAAATAAAAAAAAACCAGCTTGCCATTAACCCACATCACCAGCCCACAGCCCTGCTCACCAACCCAACCAACCCCCACCACCAACCCACACCCCTGCTCACCACCCTAACCAACCCCAACCACCAACCCACACCACCAGCCCACCCCTACCCACGCATACCACTGCCCCCTACCCACCCCAACCAACCCCCACCACAAACCCATAAACACGCATACCACTGCCGTAAACCACCTACCACCACCGTAAACCACCCAAATCCACCCCGTAAACCACCCAAATCCACCCCGTAAACCACCTACCACCACCAGCCACCACAAAAAAACCGACAAAAATCACCCAAAAAAAACCAAGCAGAAATAAATCAACAAAAATAAACTCAAATTAAACAACGAAATCAAACATTAACCACACAATTGAAATTAACCCACAATAATAAATAAAAAATAAATAAAAAACAAACAAAGCAAATTATTAGAAACAAAACGAAGACATACCTTCAATTCCACCTCCAAAACCCTTAATTTGGGATTATATGGTTAAATTCGACCATAAAAACTCCAGATCTGGAATTTTTATGGTCGAATTTGACCACAATCACCATAATTGTTGACGACCACCACCCACATTTAACGAAAACGAAAAAGATAACGAAAATGAAGGGAAACATAAAAGGAAACGAAAATGAAGAACGAAAAAGAAAACGAAAAAGGAAAAGAGGATGAAACAGGCAAATGGAAATAAAACGAAAAAGGAAAAGAGTAAAGAGAAAGAAGAAGACAGAGAATGAAGGAGAAAGAAGGAGAAAGAGGATGAAGCAGAAAGAGGATCGAGAAAGAGGATGAAGGAGGAGAGGAAGAGAAGAGGAAAGAGAAAGAGGAAAGAGGCGGAAAGAGGAGAGAGAAAAGAGAAATGAAA